TAGGGGTAAGCCTTCCCTTCATGAGACTGCTTACCATTAAGGTATAGACTGTCCTTGTCCAGGTAGAAGAGGCCCAACTTCTGGATGCCATGAGTTTGGTTGCTCAGTTCATGGAAAACCTGCTTGGTATCCATCACAATGCTGCTAGGGAACTGGTGGTAGGTGCAGAGGGCACTTACACCTGTATGCGATCTTTTCTTCATAGATCTAGGAAAGGAGATACTGTTGATAAATCTGGAAATACTGGAAGGGATACAATCCTTTACAAATATTTTGAAATGAGAAAAACAGTAATGATAATTCTCATTTCTGTAATGACAATGCAAAGTGCTACCTTAGAGCAACTTTATAAAGAAGATGGTGTGCCTATTGTCTTCTCTGTTCTACAGATGAAGAAATTGAGATAAGGGAGGTCATGTTACTCATCCAAGTTCATATAGTTAATATGTATTAAAGCTGAAATTTGAACTCAGGTCTTTTGACTCCAATGCTATTAGGGGCAATAGAACCAAGAAAGGACTCAAGCGTAGCCAAAATTGTGCTCAGATTAAAATGCAATGACTCCTTTGCTTTCCACAAAAAGACTGTAAGCTCTTTGAGGACAAGGACTTTTTGGGGTTTTTTGTTGTTGTTGTTTGTTTTTGTTTAGCTATTTAATCCCCAGTGCCTGCCATTGTGCCCAGAACATAGCTGGTGCTAAATAAATGCTGTTGAATGGATGGATGGATGGATGGATGGGTGGATGGATGGGTGGGTGCACAAAACCCCTGAAGCTTGGGACAGTGCGTTCTCCACATTGGAAACAGATTCCTACCTAACAAAGAGTTTATAACTCAAGTAATTGGCCAGGATCATGAGCAAGCAGCGCAAAAAGAGTCAGACTATATTATCTTACTTTGATGACAAAGAAGATCAAAACACAACCAGAAGAAGACAACAAAACCAGAGCTCCTACATCCAAAGCCTCCAAGAAAAATATGAATTGGTCCCAGGCCATGGAAGAGCTCAAAAAGGATCTTGAGAAGCAAGTAAGAGAAGTAGAGGAAAAGCTGAGAGTGATGCTAAAGGAAACCCAAAAAAATACTGAAGAAAATAACACCTTAAAAAATAGCCTAACCCAAATGGCAAAAGAGGTCCAAAAAGCCAATGAGGAGAAGAATGCCCTTAAAAGCAAACCTAGCCAGATGGAAAAGGAAGTCCAAAAGCTTACTGAAGAAAATACTTCCTTAAAAATTAGAATGGAGAAATTGGAAGAGAGGGACAATTCGAGAAATCAAGTCACTGTAACACTAATCAAAAGGAATGAAGAAATAGAAGAGAATGTGAAATATCTCATTGGAAAAACAACTGACCTGGAAAATAGATCCAGGAGAGAGAATTTAAAAATTATTGGACTATCTGAAAGCCATGATCAAAAAAGAGCCTAGACATCATCTTTCAAGAAATTATCAAGGAAAACTGCCCTGATATTTTAGAACCAGAGGGCAAAATAGAAATTGAAAGAATGCACCATTCACCTCCTGAAAGAGATCCCCAAAGGAAAACTCCTAGGAATGTTGTAGCCAGATTCCAGAATTCCCAGGTCAAGGAGAATATATTGCAAGCAGCCACAGGGAAGCAGTTCAAGTATTGTGGAAACACAATCAGGATAACACAAGATTTAGCATCTTCTACATTCAGGGTCCGGAGGGCATGGAGTATGATATTCTGGAGGGCAAAGGAATTAGGACTACAACCTAGAATCACCTACCCAGCAAAACTGAGTATAATCCTTCAGGGTAAAAAATGGTCATTCAATGAAATAGAGGACTTTCAAGCATTCCTGTGGAAAAGACCAGAGCTGAATAGAAAATTTGACCTTCAAATACAAGACTCAAGTGAAACATGGAAGAGGTAAACAGGAAAGAGAAATCATAAGACACTTATTGGGGTTGAGCTGTTTACATTCCTGCAGGGAAGGATGATATTTGTAACTCATGAGTCCTTTGTCAGTATTGGAGTAGTGGGAGGGAAAAAATTATATGTTTGTATAGATAGATAGATAGAGGACACAGGGTGAGTTGAGGATGAAGGGATATCTGGAAAATAGAGTTAAGGAGTGGGAGAGGATTATACTGGGAGAAGGAGAAAGGGAGAAGTGGAATGAGGTAAAATATCTCACATGAAACAGACAAGAAAAGGCTTTTACATTGGAGGGGAGATGGGGGAAGGTGAGAGGGAATGAGTGAATCTTATTCTCATGGGATTTGGCTTAAGGAGGGAATAACATACACAATGGGGTATAGAAATCTATCTTACTCTGCAGGAAGGTGGGGGGGAAGGGGACGAGAGAGCAGGGGGTTGTTAGAGGGGTAGGCAGATTGAGGGAGGGGATAATCAGAAGCAAACACTTCTGAGGAGGGACAGAGTCAAAACAGAGAATAGAATAAATGGGGGATAGGATGAGATGAAGGGAAATATACTTAGTTTTTCACAACAGGACTGCTATGGAAGTGTTTTGCATGACTACAAATCTATAACCTGTATCGAGATGCTTGCCTTTTCGGTATGGGTGGGTGGTGAGGGAGTGAGGGAGAAAATTTGTAACCCAAAGTTTTAAAAACACTTGTTAAAAATAAAAAAAAATTTTTAAAAATGATTAGTGGGCAGATTTTAGAAAAACCTAGAAAGACTTACTGGAACTAATGCTGAGTGAAGTGAACAGAGCCAGGAGAACATTGCACACAGCAACAGCAACATTGTGTGATGATTAACTATGACCTGACTTAGCTGTTCTCAGCAATACAATGATCCAAGACAATTTCAAAACATTCATGATGGAAAATGGAATCTGCATCCAGAGAAAGAACTGTGGAGTCTGAATGCAGATAGAAGCATACTATTTTCACTTTTTTTTGTTTTTCATGGCTTTTCCATTTGGTTCTGTTTCTTCTTTCACAACATGACTAATGTGGAAATATGTTTACGTGATTGCACATGTATAACCAATATCATATTACTTGCTCTCTTGGGTGGGGAATGGGAGAAAGGGAGAAAAATTTTGGAACTCAAAATTGTATAAAACATGAATATTAAAGACTATCTTTACATGTAATTAGAAAAAATGAAATACTATTTTAAAAAAGTTAAAAAAAAATAAAATCCCTTTCAGCCCTATAACCCATGATCCAATGATCCTGCCTGAGACAGAATTCCTGGGTACACAGTCATAGCCACCAAGATGATCACCGAAGGGAAGCAGGTCCAAGGCAAGTCCTCTTGTCTGAAGGGCTCCCTGTTGTCTCCATGTACTCAGGTACTCACAGCAGAGTGTGCCCTCCCCATAGCCAGTCCATGCTCTGGCTTTCTCAGTGCCCAGGATTTGGTCCATTTCATTTGCTCATATAGCAGCAATCTGTCTCCTTCCTGATGCCCAAACATGTGCCCCACAGAATTACACCCAACCACTTGCTACGTTCCATAGGAGGAAAAGAATCTTCCCATGTGAGCAAAAGCCCCTTCAGCTCTCTGCCCCTCCTAGGCATGCAGCATCCCAATGCACTGACAAAAGGAATCATACAATGAAAACACCATGGTGTTATCTGAACAGTAACAGCAGGTCTTTCTCTTGTAATTTTAGATATTAGATATTTAGATTATAAAATCTGTTCTTTGCCCACCATTTAACACTTAGAATTGGATAGAGCACTGGGCCTAGAGTCAGGAAGACCTGAGTTCAGATTTGGCCTCAGGCACTCATTATCCATGTTATCCTGGGCAAATTGCCTAACCTCTATTTCCCTTAATCCACTGGTGTAGGAAATGGCAAACCACCCCAGTATCTTTGCTAAGAAAACCCCATACTGGGTCACAAACTTGGCTGTAAGCAGTAGATTTGCAGTTTCATGTGCAATCATCTTTATTATACTATGTTATAGAAATGCTTATTTTATTCCATAAATTAAAAAATAAAATACTTTTTTAAAAGAATCAATAGGAGGCCTAACCTATTTCTGGTAATCTATTCTAGCAGCTTATCTAGGCTTTGAGAGAGTAGCTACTGTTACATGGAAAGGTTCTCCGGGCCACAGCTGAAACACCCACAAGATGATGTGACACAAAGAGCTTATTGTCTATGGTGCATTCTCTATTGTCTGGTGGGTCTGTGTCCCATGGAAGGGAGTCCTGCCTCCTTTCCCTGTTCCAGGGGGAACAATGATCCTTGAGAAGAGGCTGTTTTGCTCTGTGTGTATTTTATCAGTGGGAGAACCTCAGGGAGCTGATTCTGCCAGGAATATTCCAAGGAGGATCTTAACTGCCTCTCAGTCAAGTCAAGTGGGCTCTTACTTGAGAATAGCTCTTGTGCACACTCTATCCGCTTTTGATATACAGTATCTTAATAAGTGAATTCACTCACATTTAGAGCTACTTTATCATGGGTCACAAGATAACAGGATATAGTATTTGCGTGTTGAGCAAGGGAGCAGCGGAGCCATGCTTGTTGGGATTTGTTCCTATAAGGAAAACCATGTCTGATTTCTGCAGGTGATGGTGTGGATCCATGGTGGTGGCTTTATTTTTGGTGGCGCTTCCATACATGAGGGTTCGATATTATCTGCCTCCCAGAATGTGGTAGTGGTCAACATCCAGTATAGGCTGGGCATCCTTGGGTTCTTCAGGTGAGATTTGACCCCAATAAAATGTAAGTACAAGTATTTTTCCCTAATAAGTTCCCAGATCTCTGAGTGACTGAATGATGATAAAACATAATTTCCTGATTAAATGACATCTCTTCCCTTCCCTTGCCTTCCCTACAAATTAATCATGATATAGTAGAAGAGGCACTAGATTTGTGGCCTGAGGACCCAATTTTAAATTATGGCCCTGCTTCTTATGACCAATAAATTCACTTCTCCCTTGGTCTCAGATTCTGGATAGATAGATAGATACATAGATACATAGATACATAGATAGATACATAGATAGATGAATGAACGGACAGACTAGCAGACAAATAGGCAGGTAGATAAAACATTTGTTAAGAACCAGGCACTGTATTAAGTGCTAGGTATACAAAAGAAGAAAACAAGATGGTCCTACTGTGTTAACCTAACCCCAGCTTGCTGAACTGCATAGTAATAAAGCTCATGATTCCTTTAGCTTTCCAAGTACCAATTTTCTGCAATGTCTTACTCTAAAGTTATCTGCCCCTTTCACTCTGCTCTCTGGCATGCCTGCTCCCTAAGTAGCAAATTTGTTTCCGTCTTTAATCCTTTTCTTTCTTACCCTTTCTATCTACTTGTCCTCACCAAATCCTGACTTTTTTCTGATGAGAACTTTCCTGATGACCATTTTTCAACACTATTTGCATTTTCATTCATGCCTCCATCACTGGGAAGCCAAAATACTCTTTGTTTCCTACGACCACTTCCAGACTCTCCTTCTGCCACCATCATTTAGCAGCTTCTCCTCCTTTGAGGTTCATTCAATCCATATTCATCACCCAATCAAGATTCTAGTAGCTGTTATTTACCATCCTCATGGGCACTCTCCTTCCTTTCTCAATGAATTCAGTGCCTTGTTTCTGGTCTTTCTCTCTTTCCTAATTCCCACCTTCATACTGAAGGACTTCAACATTCATCTTGATATTCCCTTCAACATTCTAACTCCCCAGTTCCTCAGTGTATTAATTTCTCACAACCTACTCCTCCACCCCACCTTAGCTAGATACAGAGATGGTATCACCTTGATTTTACCCTGACTCATGAGTGTTCCACTTCTATGTTCATTAAATCTGAAATTCTTCTATCAAGTTATAATCTCTTATCCTTCCACTAGATTCTCTGCTTTGTAAGTCCTAACCCTGTTCTTCATCCTCACCTTGACCTTCAATCCCCCCACCCCTCATTTCTTTCCCAGGCCATCACCCCTGCCTGGTTGTACTCTCTTCCCTTCTCCATCTTAACACCTTACTGAACTGCTTCACCTTACACTGACCCCTTATCCTATGACAAATCTTTCCCTGCCATACCTCAGCCTTGGATTACTCCCATCATCCGCTCCTTTTGCTCTTCTTTGTATTCTGCTGAATGAAGATAGAGAAAATCTTGAAACCATGTTGCCTGGATCCATTCAGATTAATGTTACATAATGTTAAATGGGTCATCATTGTGGCAAGACAATCTTTCTGCACCTCTGTAATCAAGTCACTATGTTATTCACTATAGTGAATTTTCTAAACCTTTGCATCCCTCCTCAAACTTCTCATGGCTCCTCCTCTCCTCACCATCTCAACTCAGAACCTTGCTTTGTATTTTGCTGGAAAAAAAATGAGGCCATCCACTGAGCTCCCTCATATCCCCTCCCCCATATCTCACATTGATCAGATACCTTCTGTTACTATTTTCTCCCTTACTCTTACTTACATGAAAACATGGACCTTTTCTTCTCTGATGCTAAGCTGTCTACACACAAAAAGAAAATCACATTCCATCCAGTCTTCTCCAGAAGATTGCCCTTTCAATCTTACCTCACTGTTCTTTAATCTCTCTCTCTGTCTCTCTCTCTCTCTCATCGTGACTGCTTCCCTAATACTAACCATCCATCCATGCATCCCTCCTAGCTATTATCTCATAAATATCCTTCCTTGTATAGCTAGATGTCTTGATACTTTTCTCTCACTCTCAACTCTCTCAAAATGTATATCCCAAATACAACACTTCCAAAACTCTTTTCTCTTTCTCACCAAGTCCTCCCCTCTTCAAAATATCCTTATTATTTATTAAAGGCACCATCATCCTTCCAGTCACCTGGGCTTGTGATCTAGGTGTCATAGTCCACTATTCACTCTCTTTTCCCCTATATCCAATCTGTTACCAAGTCTTATTGACTGTACCCTTCCTACATCTCTCATATATACCCACTTCTCTTCTCTGACACTGTTGAGGTTTAGAGTTGGGAGAGCTGGTTCAGGTGTGAAAGAATTCACTTAGACCTTCTCTGTAACCATTGGGAGCTTTATTTCATCAAAGCTTCATGGGCCTAAGATTAGCAAGGAGCTAAACAAAGGCACCAATATAGGAGAAGACCCAGGCTTATATAGAAAGAAAGCCACACAGCCTGTAGGATGATATTGTATTTTAGGGTTTCTTATGGGGGTTGGAGATTAGGGACAGGATAAGAACAAACAAGATGAGGAAGATGGTTGCTTACAAGATAAGGAAAATTGTCATGACACAGGATGAGAAAGATGAATGTAAAAATAAAGAACACAGAGTAAGGGAAACAAAGGCAATTCTTTTGGTACAAGTTGTATGGTATTTCACTATAAGGTGAAAAGGACTTGAGAAATTCTCAAGTTCCAGGATCTCAAGGTATAGGATGGTCTACAGAATGAGCCTCAAACCCCCTCAGGGATCCTGGGAAAGTAACCCTTAATATTATTTTTTATCCTAGGGCACTCTTTTTACCCACATCATATCCCCACTCAAACACTAGGCAGGAGAAATCTTTCAGAAAAAGGGGCAAAGGTCTTTGTCTTCAGTAGCTCCTTCCTGCTGAACAGGGGTGAAGAGTCCATTTCAAGGGCCAAGAATAGGTTAAGGAGGGGAGGTCAGCATGAAGGTGTGCTGAGTCCAGGGTAGAGAGAGGCAAATCACTTGGGGACACCAAGGATAGGGGTTGATATCCTAAGAGCTGAAAGTGGAATTTCTGCAGGTAAGAAGAAACAAAGCAAACCAGGAGGCTAAACAAACATGGACCAAATATAAGAGCAAGTAACAAGGTTAGAATGAGGGAAAGAAGGGAAGAAAACATGAACCCCAGGAGACGGTACGGGGAGATATCAGACTGGAGTGGATGTCTAGCATCTAAGAGGCTGCCTGTACAATCCTTCAAGTGCTCAAAGGATAAATTCCATGTAGGGTTTTCAGGGAATAGGGGGAAAGCTATGGCGGCCTAAGCTAGTTGACACACCCAGCAATCATGTACAATGCCCTGCCCCACAGAGTTCCCTATTTGAATTAAAGCATTTGATTCCCAGTCATAGGAAAGCAGGCCTAACCCTAGGCACAAGGTGGGAATCAGGAATAAGTAACAGGAGAAGTGGTTTAAGGCAGGGCCCAGAATACAGCATAGCTAGAAAGCACACAAGCAATTCTCCAAGGTGAGAGGCTTCAATGCATAGTCTTCTTTGATCACTTTTCTGACTGGTCACACCCTGCCTCTTATCCCATATCTCACATCCTGCATCCTGCTTGCTTCATCTGCCTCCAGCACTACTGTCTGCCTCACCATTCACCCCAATGCTTTTGGAAGAGGGACAAAGGAGCTGTTCCTGCCTGAGTGGGGGTAGGGATGGGAGTAAAATGAGGCTGAAGCAGCATCCAGGGGATGAGGAGAATGTGGAACAGGTATCCTTGTTGCATGACCATCTGCAGGAGGACAGCCTGCCTTGTGTCTAGGAGACACAAATCTGACAAGCAAGTTCAATATGCAGGGCCCAAATAGAAAGAGCATTAAAAATGACATCAGAAAAGAGGGAAACAAAGAAAGAAACCAAGAGCCCCATGATGCTGTTATTTGCTTTTGACATACAGGATTATCTGATCTTGTTTTTCCTCAAAAGTTTTCACACTGATTCCAATTCTTTTAGGAGGATCAGATGCTATTGAGGATCCAACTCTATGCATGTAAATATAAGTAACAACACTTTTGCAGGTAGAAGCTTCCTACCCTTGAGTTTGGTAGTTATACAAATGAATTTACTTATAAGAGACTGACTTTTACTCCAGTTATCATAAAAGACTTGGGAGGATATATGATTAATTCCAAAATAGTGCATATCAATAAATTGTTTATAATAAAACATGGTTGTACCACAGGACACACAGAATAAACAGGTGTTATTTCTACAATAGTAGTAAACTTTAAATGAAGTTGACTTTTCCATTACTGCAAAAATATTCCATAAGTTAAAAATTGCACTGAAATTCTTTTCCCCAAATTGAAGATATTTCTGATTTAGTTTCAGTAACTAAAAAAATAACAGCTAGGTCCCTCAATCAGTTATACCAATACCCAATTATTCTTACATTATTTTGGAACATTTAAGGACCTTATTCCATATGACATATATTCTAGTAATAGGCAGATGACTAGGTCAATAACCATTTCCTAAGTTGCTTAAGAAATAGAAAGTAGTATAATCTTGGGCTGAATAGTTCAGATCTTAAACACACACTTTAATATAGTAGCTCAGATGTATCCCAGCCTTAGTCTGTGAGATAATGATTCAACATTTTGTTTGTACCTTTGTTTCACAAACTTTTTCCCTTTATCTAATTATTCCCATATCATTCAGAAAGAATGTTCTATTCCAGAGATTTAATCTTTCACATGACTATGTAAGAGTACTAATTTACCCAACTGTTTGGGATATAAGATAACTACATGTTCAGATTGGAATCAGCAAGATTTCACATACTTGCAATTGTGCTCACATCTTTTACTGACCACTTGCTTTGATTACAGAAATTTGCCATAAAAAGGAAAAGCAAGAACAAAGTTAAATAAAACATCATAGTTTTCCAATCATGCAGTATTAATTCCACCTCATAGCCAGACTCAGGAGTAGTCAGGTGAGAAACATTCCTTTTCAAAGGAACACAATGGGGAAACT